AGTTAATGGGTCAAACATTTCATGTTTAACAGACATAACTATGCCTAAAGGCCATTAGGGAATAAAATAATATAATCATTAAAACTGGGAAAAGTTGACAGCTTACGTGTCAAGCTAATTGTTTTACTGGATGATGTAGAAATATGAAAAGTAAAGCGACAGAACACGCCACGTACATTCAACGTACATGTACATTAAAGCTAGCGTTTAGTGGGCCTAGCAAGAGTATTTAAGAAAATCGCCTTCTTTGGGTTTCCGAAACCAAAATTTACATAATCCCAGTAATTAGCTTTAACAAAACAGATATAACAATAAGTTTTGAAAAGAGTTTATGGTCTTTGAAACGCAAGGTTAGTAGCCTACAATTCAATTGAAATAAGATAAATTTGAAATTTTTATTTAACAATAAGGACCTAAACTTAAAAAAAAAAATAGTTTTCAATTTTATTTTTAACTTTAAAATATTGCAAAACTTTATAGCACACTAATATTAGACAGTACTAGAAATATGATAAATGAAACATGATTATGTATAGACTTCCAAAATACGATCTCAAATAGTAAAAGTAGTAACTTTGGTTATACATTTGTCAGGCTAAAAAATACTCTTTTATAACCGTATTGATGTCCGTAATACATACGTAAGAATTTTAAGCCGAAACTTTTTAAAAACATTCGGTCATTGCTCTTTATATTTTAGAAATCTACGTCGATGTGAATATCTGTACAGTTATTTTCGTATACAAATCTAGATGTATAGAGTTATGCAATTTAAAACAAGTCTCGGTGAAAGTAGAACAACTTAGAGCGACTTCGCCGTCTCGAGGGTAGAATAACGTAGCTCCGACTGTACAACACTGACAGATTTCACACGTAAATGTGTTGAAATTGTATTTGAATTTGTACTGTTATAAATAACGCTTTCGTTCTGTTTCTAATATTGCATAGATGTTTAAAATAGAGTCTTTGTGATCTCATAACTTAAGGTTTCTTTAATTAGATGCTTATTTGTTTTTTATTAGAGTCTTAGAAAATTAAAAATGCAGTAATAGCATTTTATTGGAAATAATCTAAATCTGAATTAAAAGCCCACAATAAAACGGTAGAGATTCTCTTAAACAAAAAAAAAAAAGCTTTTTCAGTCTATCTTTCTTTTTACTAATTTAAATGTATTGGGCTTACATTGATAGCTACAATTACAATAAAACTTTACAGTGACCGAGTTCGTAAAATGAGTTATTTCCCTAATACGTAATTTCGTTCACATTTATTGGCGTACTTTAGAGCTTTGCTTGTTTCTAGTACTCTACCAAATTGGAAATGTTTTAACTAAATTAATTGTCCGTGAAATCGTTAAGGTGGATCAATAAAGATATTGCTTTAGATTACTGCTAAATAGTATGCAATAAAGTAAGTAAAAATTATTGTTCTTCTGCCATACTCATAGAAACTAACTGGTTACTAAGTACGGACTGGTTGAGAAACTATTAACGGCTCAATACACGCGGTAATAATAATATGAAGAAATGCGTATATAATTTGTACTGACACTATTCACAAAATAATCAGAAATAGAAAAATATTAATAAAGGAAAATGACAACCATAATAACAATTGTGAAGAAATACTAAACAGCTTGACCTTGCCCCGCCGATATCGACTGAACTTATACAGTAGTAATTTGACATTGACATGGAACCAATTGCCGTGATAAAATATACATGGCGGAAGTTCACCAATTTATCGACACGCTATTCGTAAGTATATCTGTAACTAGCTGTCGCCCGCGACATCGTCCGCGTGTAATAAAAGAAAAATTAATTAGTTCCGCGAATTTATTCTAACTTTTCTCATCTTTTAAAGATAAATCCGTTCAGCCGTTCTCGAGTTTTAGTGAGACTAACGAACAGCAATTGATTTTTATATATCTGTAATATCATGAAAGTGTACTTAAATATATATTTTTAAGTATAAACATTGTTTCTTTTAATTAAATAGAACATACAAAAATAAACAAAAAAAATGGAGAAAAAATATTATATATAGTTATAAAGTTCAAAAATGAATGACGTTTACACATTTCGTTACATGAAAGAGACGAAAGATGTAGCTTAGACGGGGTAGAGTGAGACAGGTATATTGCACCAAAAAAGCTGATGATTTTTCAAAAATAATTCAATATTTATTTATAGATAATAATAATATAAATTATCAGTTACGTTACTTGACAGTTTGACGATTGTTACCGGAGTATAATTGCTTGCTGAGCTATCTCTCATTACACAGGGTCGCGTTAAATGAATTTGGCTTAGCTAAGCAACACGTCATTTGAAATACAGTGACATTTCAGTGGTTCCGAATACATTTAATAGTTGAATAACCGATCATTAGAGATATCATAAACTTTGGATACTCAATGTATGAAAAGACAAAAGCTATCGTTCCTTAATAATTATTTATCAGCAATCATGTTTTGAAACTACAACTCCAAGAAGAAAACAATCGAGTAACACGTATTCTTCTCTTGAATTTTTTACCGGAAACAAAAAAAAATACGATGCCATAAATGAACTTAGTTACTTTTACGTTAATGGTTTCAGGTAATTGGTTTTTACAAAATAACTTAAAAAAAGAAGTTTTTGTAAAAAGAACTTAAATTATACACAGATTTTTTTTATCGTTTTTAAACAAGACTCCAATACTATTTTCTATAAAGGAAGCAAAAATATGAATACATTATTCGGTATAACAGAAGGAAGAAAACGATCGAATATTCCCAATGAAATCGATTACGCAATGTCGCCTCGCTCGTAACTACGTGATGAGAATACCAATCGCGTGATCTGACGATATGCAAACCAGACAACGACATTGTTCCCCTTTTGACTTTATTAAAATACCCAGCGACTCCCACACCCTTAGTTACTTAACCATACTATCTTCTACATATGAAAGCACTCAAAAAAAACTTGTAACACGCAAGCTTTAAATTTATTCATGGTAAAAAAATATAAATCAATATTTTTGGCAATAACTCCATGAATTTTATTACACACACACACAGTCTGTAATTGTTTATTCATAAATTAGTTGTCTATTTTTCTACACAAATAATTATAAAATTTACATGAGGGAAGTCCTTTGCTGCTTATATACAGGTCTGCCTAGTTAAGGAGCGAAGGCAACATTGAATTTTGAATTTTTGTGTACAACAATAATAAAAAAAATCATTTTTTTTAAATTCATATGAATTTTAAGGTAACGGTTTAAATAAATATACCAACAACAATAAAATGTAGTTTAATAAAGCATACTGACTACGGTACTTTTTTGAGCTTTTAAGGGAAAAATACAATCAAAATTTCAACACAAGCGAAGTCAATTACGTCGAATCATAAAAGTTTGTACGTGAGAAAAATGTTTATGTTTTCGTAGCTTTGTACCGATTGGTTTCGTAGCAATTGTCCGACCGGCTACGGCGTAGAGTATATTATTGAAAACACGTAAAGGTAGTAAAGTACGTTGAGTTTTATTAAGTTTGTGTCATTGTAACTGAATATTTTCTTAATGTATTTTTTCTGTAGATACTGTATTTGTCAGTTGTAATTTCCGAAAATTATTGTGATTATTGTCCTTAAAAAACTGAGGTTGCTTTTTTGGGAAAAACTGGGTAATGCTGAAGAGTCAACAAGGCTGCGATGTTATTTTGTTTTTTACGCGTATTTTCCCAATGTATCAATCTTGTTTATCATATTTTGACAGTACTAGTTATTGATTATTTGTTATTTTGACCTATCACGTGTCATATATGTGTTTTATACTAACATTCATTTTTTTGAAAGAGGATCACAATATTTTCTCTAGATGTACTTAAACTCTCGCTTAGATGAGCCACAAATATTCTGCTCCTAGACTTTTTATTAAAGCCTACGCTGCTTCCCTAAAATGAAACGCGAATTCATTTGTTCAAGATTTCTTAAAGATAAACTAAAGTCCGTTTAAGTTAATAATTTGTTGAAACAGTGATCCGCTCCTTTACCTTTCCATCAGATTTTCAATCTACGTGCTTTATCTTAAAGAGAAATGATGTTTCATCAATTTTAAAGCTTTTGACTCAATTTTACTTAGTTACATAATATTGCGTTATCAATTGCTTGTTAAAATAAGTTAATACCGTCTAATTACTCTTAAGTATATCTAGGAAAATTGTTTATTTCAGTGACTAATAGTTTTAAACGACTAACAGCAGAAAGCGGACCATTACCTTATTTTTTGTTGTTGTTCAATGAATTAACATATGTGTGAAAGAGGATATGCGTAAGAAGGGGTAGACTCGGATATGACGGCTGATAGAGATGTATGGAGGAGTAGTACATACTGTGCCGACCCTCGATAGGGATAAGGGCAGGTTGATGTTCAGTGAGTTAACATATATACAGATATATATTGACACGTAACCTCATATAATAATGTATGTCCGAAAAAAATCATCTCCTATACATTTTACTTGGAGCAAAATTGCACAATAAAATACGACGCCGATACTGTTGCCTAACGACTTTAGAATTTTTAATGAACGCACACTTTGACAGAGGATCGAAAAGTTTCCCTTAATTACAACACTGGAAGTATGAGGAGATTATTGTAACAAATTACTCTTTCGTTTCGTAAATTTTTCGTTTAAATAAGTTTAAATTTAGACATATAATAAAGGTTTCGTATCTTTTCTCTTTTAAAACCACCCTGAGACGTTTATACCAAAGATTTATTAAATTAATATAGCTATAAAAATAAATAGACAGATCTTCAAGAGATATAAAGTAAAAATAATATATTTTTTTATTTTACAATAATTCAATATTTACTTATATTTACAATAAACCATACTTTCACGTTACATTATTATACGAGAACGTCACAAATGACGTCACAGATTCTTTTACTTACACGTTACATTAATTTTGTTCTAAATAACTTTGTTTTTTATTCGCTCATGGCATCCATTTGACTTAGCTGTTTTATGAAATAGAAAACAACTTGCTTTGTTTTGTCAATTTCTTTAAATAAATAATGAATTTTTAACATGACTTTTAATTTGCGCAATGTAAAAACGATTTCCGCTTTCTTTTCATTGATTTCCGCGATCTGTTATTTCGCTAATTATAACTTATATCTTTGCACTTTTTATAAGTCAAAAGAGGTACCATGTATTCAATAATGGTTTATAACCTCTTTAGTAATATCATCCAAAATTAATGCGTTTTTATAACGCACTTTAATTGGCTATCTGGCGTATCCTGCCAGTACTTTACCTAAGTATTCATGTGTTTTATTATCGCGTTCATCTTTTTCAATCACATCTTCTTTACTTTCAGTTCCTTGCGACATCTTTGTATTTGTAAATATATATTTCAAACGTTTTGTTGATTTGGTATTAGTATTATCTATATGATTAATGGAAGTCACTTCTCTCGTTGCGGGATAAGACGGGTCAATGAAATAGTATGCGGTTTTAATTTTTTTTCTACGACCAGTATATTCCTTTCTAATAGCTCCTCTGTCATAAATAGGATACGCTTCTTCTTTAGGTTTCGTTTCAGTGTCGTGAACTTCAGGATAATCATACACCATACTCTGTGCTACTCTTCTCCAGTTTTCTATTTCATTTTCATCGTATTCAGAAAACAGAGCTATAGGTGTGAATGTTCTTGCCGTCATCAACATATCTTCGTAATCAGAAATATATTCGAAAGGCTTGACGGTTTTTCTTTTTGATGATAGCCGCTGTAAGGATAACGCATATTAATACCTTACTAATATTATAAATGCGAATATTTAGTCGGATGAATGTTTGTTTATAGGTGGCTAGAACGGCTCAACGGATCTTGATGAAATTTGGCATCGCTGTATTACATAATCTAATTCTTATTCCGTAGGAAGTGGTGAGCAAAAGCTGAAGATGTATAAAGTGTAGTTTTTTGCTCATCAGCGATTAGTCATTAAGCAGTGTATAGAGCTATCCGATAAATTATTATACGTATTCAATAACAATATAACATTACCTTATAAGATAATGATGTACGTCTCCTCGTAGTTCTCGATGGTTTTCGCGCTTTATTTACATAATAGATATGATCCATTGCGGTTTTCATTTGATTGACGGAGCCTGGTACATACTGTTTTAAAACCTGTGTTTATAAATCTATATTAATATCTATATATAAAAAAGAAAGTCGTGTTAGTTACACTATTTATAACTCAAGTACGGCTTTACCGATATGGCTGAAAATTGGTGAGGAGGTAGCTTAGAGCCAGGAGACGGACATCGGATACTATTTATTCATTTTTCATTTTTTATTTTTAGTTTTCTTATATATCCACGCGGATGGAGTCGCGGGCGACAGCTAGTTATGAATAAAAGCTCTATATAGACGGGTGGACAACAAAATGATTCCTTAAGGGTTCCGTTTTTTTCCTTTCAACGTACGGAACCGGAACATTATAAAACTTTAAGTTACTACCAATGTATTGAGAAAAAACTTACTTGAAACTTAAAACTTGTACTTACGTCATTCAATGGAACATTTTTAGCGGTGATAGCGAATATAAGATTTTTCGGAACAATTGCCTCAATTGTCGTTGTGGATTCTGTCGTGGTGATAGCTTCCACACCAACTACACCAAAGTCTTCCTCTGTAGTTGGTCCATGAAATTGTTTACGACCATTCCGCCCTGAAATTTAAATAAAATGAAAATAACAAAAGACAATTTTGATACTACATACTTGAGTAAACTTTGTAACTTATAGTGTCTTATTAAATATCTAGTAAAGAATAAAACTGTATGGAATTAGAAATATTCGACATTATAATGGTATCTCCTAAGCTATTATCACAACACTACAGAGCCGTATTAACTTACTAAAAAAACTCTTAGGATCTTCAGGCCACCAAGTTTCCGCGTCCAAAGGACCGTTGATATCACGTCTTAAATTAATGGACAAAAGTGAATCTATAAGCAAAAAACTTGTCGTTAGCTCACCATAAAAATTAAAAATAAAAAAAAATACCACAACGAACGAAAAAAAATTTAGAGAACATGCTCTCAAAAAATATCTTAAACTCCTTATGCGGCTTGAATCTGAAATATATTATGACACCACACAACTTCTAGTAAGCTAGATAGTTGCAAATCGTTGAAATAATTTACAATCGTATGTATAATGTCTTTTACTGAGCAAATTAGTAATTAAATGAATATTTGCTAGTATACCTAAGCTCAAAACATCCTAGATAGTATGTTATAACTATTGCGACTACATAACTTTACTTTAATTGTATTAAAACATACCAACTAAAATACCATACATCCATACATAAAAAATAATTTAAAATATTTTCTATTATTAATATTTCGATAAACTAAAAATCAAGTACAAAAGTAATAATATATATAATAATTAAGCAATTACATATATTACAAATTCACCATAAGCCTTGGTAGCAAATAAATTTTACCATTGTATTTTAAAAATTCGGAAATAGAATAATGATAGCCAAATGCTATCCCTGATGCAACTGCTATGAAAAATAATAAACAAACAGCCCCACCAATGCAGCATGACATTAAAAAACTCCATACCCTGCAAAATAAACAAATGAAAGAATCATTAAATCGTAGTAATCGATGCGTTATTGGTATAGGAACCGGAAAACGTAGACAGAAGATATCTAATTACTCAGCAAACATAGAGTCTATCAGTGCGTAATTAAAAAAAATAATGTGTATAGTATGTGCTCTTCTAGTCCATGTTCTATGCCAAATGACATCAAGATTCGTTGAGCCGTTTCGGAGATATCTTCATACAAACATCTATCTACGTAATCTTTCGCATCTATAATACTAGCGGACCCGACAGACGTTGTCCTGTCTACATGTCTTTAATTTGAATAAATTAATATGAAGTTAATATTTGATGAAAATTGTGAATCTAAACCATTCCCAGATCCCCATGAACACACAAAAAATTTCATCAAAATCTGTCCAGTCGTTTGAGAGAAGTTCAGTGACATACACACTCACAGAAGAATTATATATATATAAAGATTTGTAAGATAGTATGTTAAGGCAAGTCAATTGACAAGTTCAAATATTGGTGCTTAAAGCAGCTTAATATTTTACACACTAGACATTGAAAATAAGCGAGAAGCTTATTGTAAAATACTCAAGAAGGGCGGAATTAAGAGTACCCGAAACCGACGGAAATGTATCGATAAATGAACGTGGAAGAGTCGAGTTGAGCTACGGTTGCGCCAAATGGAAATACATATCTGCTGTTGTCAATGATACTAGACATTATACTTAAAAACTTACCTCTGAATGAAATCAAAAATCCATGATATGTAAGTGAATATGCAACACATATTTTATTTGTATTAGATTTTTAATAATAACATATGTCATGAAATACGTATTAAAATCATTTTGTAAGCCGAAATTATTAACGGAAATTTTCTTTCACCTAAAAATTTTTAACATCACTAATAATTTAAGGGCACTATAATTTTAAATGCAAAAATAATTTACATGTTGTGACCAAATAATTGTCAAATTATCCAAATATCATATGGCTGTCAATCTGTCATTTTAGTGTTGCCCTTATATAATTTAATAACAGTTTATAAATTATTACTTCCTTGAATATTACACGATAAAACATTCAGGCACAAAACGGTATGTTTTATAAAGGGATTTTGGTATCAGAAGCCCACGGTAAGTGAATGTCATCGTTTCAATTTAATTTTGTTTATATCAGCAATTACATTAGGTTTTGTGCACATATTAAGAAAATGTGACTTACGTAATAGTTTCCTCACAATATACCGAACTTCTGCTAAACAAATTAGTTGCAGAAGGCTGTCGTGACATTAATAGTGTTACGCTAAAGTTTGATGGCCTCTTGCCACTATCCATTACTGCTGACAACAAAATCACATCAACCACATTCCCCTTTAAATTTGAACTTATAATTTAGAAATAGGACGTAGACAACTTTATTAAGCATATATGTAGTTTCTTAATTTCTAAATGGTTTCTGAAAACTTTTGTTACGGTAATTTATGCACCGATTTATATATTATAAGATAACATTATAGTGTAATGCAGGTCTTAGAAAGTTTAAATCAATAACTGTGAAGAATTGCGTAGAATATTTTCGTCTGTACGAAATAAGCAAATCTTAAGTTATTTGAGATTAAAGAAATGCTTTGTGCATACATTTTTATCTTAAACTTTAGCGTTGTTAAAACTTTATATAAATACATTTTTAAAATATAAAGTAAATATTTTCTTTGGAATTTGGTACTTACATTAAAATACCTTTTATCGAAATATAACAATTTTGGAAAACTTTAAATTTAAAAGTATTATTTTATCTTAGCTTACATATGGTGGTTCCGAAAACACTGTAACTTTGTAGTCGGTAAGGCATAGTTAACTAGTGACCACTATCACCGGATGTTGCTATGACCACTAAAGGAAATTGCTCGGGAAGTAAACATCCGCGGGCTGTAACCGCTAATGCACTCATGTTCTTTATACCACAATGTCTATAAAGACACGTGTTTCTTTGGAACATTCCCACTGTCATTTTTCATAACGAGCTAGCGCAACATACAAATGTTTTGTAGAATATGGTCTTATATCTAATTGAAAAGAGGAAGGGATAAACAGATGATGACTTATTTCATTTCCCTAGTTCTTCCTGCACTCCCTTTTTTATTTTTCTTATTTAGAAATAATTGATAGTGGACTGAAATTAATAGGGCTCCTACACCAGCGAGGGTGGCATATCCGTCCGCGCGGAACAAAAAAAAACATAATTGGGCTATGTGTTCTTCAAGACTATGGTATCAGCCGTTCTAGAGGTACCTCCACACAAACATCCATCAATCCATCTAAACATCCGCATTTATAATATTAGTAAGATTTTAAAACGTTGCAAAAGATTTACAGCTTGGTTTCTCATATCTTTTCAATACGACACTTATGGAAGGAAAGCTCGAACTATTCCTGCACTACGTATTCAAACGATACACCGACGTCACTTTGAACTATTTATATATCAATCGATAGTATTGCGACGCGATATGATTGTTTAAGGAATGTTTTCATGGTTTTCAAATATCTTACTGGAATTTTCTACCCAAAAATTGTATTGTAATCATAAAAATTAATAAATAAACATTTGTTGATCCAAAAAAAATTACAATTTCTTAGGACTCCGCCTACTGTGATAGATGGAGACTTGTTACAGGAGGTAGTGCTTTATCTTAATCTAGGTCTTAAATAGGTTCTATTTTATGCATATTTGTATGTGTGTGTTTGTGGGTGCGTGTGTGAAATTACTCGTACAACGTTGATGAAACAATAAGAAAAAAGCATAAATGCGAATTGAAACGTACAATTCTATCTTTTATTTATATTAAACTGTTTCTGAGAAGCTTTTATTAGTTAAACATAAATGTTTAAAGACGCTTTCAAGATCACTGTAAGTGATTTCTCAAGGGACTTTGATCTTCGTTCGGAATATTTCTAAATGCAGCTGCATATTGGAAGAGTCTTATCGATGTTTATTTTGATAGGTAATCTCGATTCCTAGTAAACTTTATATTAAAACGTGAAACGAAAACTTTGTATTTATTTTTTAAGGAAAATTAATATGAAATTTGATACAGTTAAATCTAATGCGGAGAAGTGTAATATTTAGGTATTTTTTATTAAAAAAAATCATCGATGGTGACCATTCTTTTAGGTATAATACCGCAAATATGGTGATTAATTTTAAGTGACAATCGAACTAACAATTCTGTAGAATTCTCAGTTTTATTTAGTATTCTCGTTTCGTGTTTCGTATCAAATTTCGTCAGTGAAAATTAAATTTGAGCTTCAACTAAATGCCGAGGGATAGCTGGAGACTTGTTGTGTTTAACAAACCGCTTTGTTTTCCAACAAGATAAATTAATTTGTAGGAACTTAGTTGCGGTAAGTTGAGTAAAAGTGTGAAAGTACGGGTATAATTTAATTAATTTCTGAAACCTTTGCAAAATAATTTAATCTTAAATAGCATTTTTATTTTTAAAGAGTAGTGGCCTGCTATTTTTTTATCAATTTGGTGTTAGATTTACCGTGGGCTTCTGATACCAAAATTCCCGTTTAAAACATATTGTTATTTCAGTTTTGTCAAAAATCACAGGATTGACGACATGTTTCATACAGAGATTTGTATCACAGAAACCATCGGTTACTTAGGCGATTTACTATAATGGGTTACATAATTTATTGAACTGAAACACCACAGCTTCATAAAATATATTCTGTATTCTGTAATTACTTTGCTATTTTATTATTCAAGAACACCATCTATCACATCCGCCCCTAAACTATTACTTGAATTTTAAGTTAACGTTTATAATCCTAAATAGACATGAATAAATAAAAACTTTATTGTGTGCCTTAAACCTTCGGGTTTGGTGAAATATTAGATAAATATATTATAAAGTTTATGTGTAAATTATGTAATAAATTTTAATCTAAAATTAGTTATTAATCATATAAATAATAAAAATTATTTTAATTAATAATTTTTAATTAAATATTAATATTTAATTATTACAACGATTATTATTCTAACCAAGCAATCAAACAACCTATAATTATAGCTTAATTATTTACATAGATCTGTCATAGTGATACCTCTATGATATTATTAAAATAGCAGTTTCAATGCTGACCTTAGTTCTTTATTGAGGCCAGTCAAGTTTCATAACCAATTAAATCAATAAAACCGTTTGAATCGATCAGAGAATTTGTGGCGTGCCATAAATATATGGCCAAAACGCTGGTACAAAAGTATTTAGACATTTAAATTTTATAGAATTAAAAAACTTGTATAAAATGTAACGCGATCTATCCTAAAAGAAGATAAGTGATGTTTTAATTGTGATCAAATGAATATCGTTTATTGCGCAAAATAAACCGAAGAAACGAATCAAATGAGGAAGAAAAAGTTTTTTAAGACGTATTCAAACTATTGGATTACATGTCCCTTATCAAGTAATCTTATGTTTACGTTATAAATATTGTATGTTATTGTCACAATTTTTTTTTATCAAATCTAGAATATTGTTTGGATAAAAGTTTTTTATACGCGACTACAAATTAAGAAGTGTTGACAAGTATATGTCAGAGAAGAAAAATAACGGCGGCTAAAGCAATCGGCTAGAGTGGCGGCATACTATATTAAATTAGTCAAACTTATCCCGCTATGCTACTCCCTTTTCAACTTACGCCGATTAAGAGCTTATGACGTGTGGCTTAGGGTATAGTCGACAAAAAAATGTTCATCAATATCTACCCTTATACCCCACTTGTTATTTGTCATGAAAGTTTTTATACTAAAAATTGTTTAAATTGTTTACAAAGCCAGTGAAACGCTTCCTTCGGTTTATACCAAATTACTTTGAGCCTATTAGTTTGGATAGAAGTTGGCAGTTATCTATGTAAGCCACGTCATGTTTCACTTACCTGTATTTTCGCAGTTCTTTTCGTAATATGCTTATCTTCGTGTGCCCGAGAATTACTTTACGCCAGGTATTTCACTCCCTTTATTCTTTAACTACAGAAGTATAGTTACATAAAATCTAAGAGAAATTCGAGTAATTCCGTTGGTGTGCACCCGCCTTTAAGCTCCGCAGAAAGCTGCAGCTTATCTCGTAACAAAATTGCCCGCGCTCGTTAATGGCTAATTTGAACGTCAGCTGGAAACTATCCCAGCTACGTTTGCTCCATTGTAGAGGTCAAAGAGAAGGTTAAAGAGTTTACATTATTTCACATGTAAATGATAGGTTAATACTCTCATAATGGTTTTACGAAATGGTATGTTTACCTATCAACCGTTCTACCTCTGTTGTTTACCTTTATTAACGATTTTATGTTACTACTAGCTGCCGCCCGCGACTCCGTCAGCGCGGAATAAAAAAACTTTGTAAGTAGCCTATATGCTCTTATAGATGTAGAATCTATGCCAAATTTCAACGAGATTCGTTTAGCCGATCCGGAGATACCTTTAAACAAACATCCATCCATCTATCTATAAAACAAAACATTCGCATTTATAATATTAGTCAGATTCAAAATGAAATATACAGATATAAGTAATACTTTCCTAATCTGTAAAAAGACTGAAATAATTTGAAAATATAATCTTGCAGAATTAAGTTTTTTATTTTTAATTAAAGCTAAAATACAAGCTTTAATTGGGGATTAACTGTCGAATATTGTTCCCAGGCCGAAGCTCTGCGGGCTGAGAATGTCTAATAATGAATATTAAATTTTAATCTCATGATATCATTTAGTCATTTTATTAAAAAATAAAGTGTTTAAACATGATTAAATAATATAAGGCTCAGACCCGAAAATTCTTAGAGTGTAAAAAAATATGTTAACAGCTATTGTGCAAACACGTATACTTGAACATTTATTTTTTTAATTATTTAATATAGCAATTCGCCACTATGTACCGTGCGTATCGGAACGTTTGAAA